TAAAGTTATCGGTTTAGATGAATACCACTAATAATTAGTATGCTTTAGAAATATTTACGGAAATAGAGCACACGATTTCGTTCATTTTTGAGTTGTAGCAGGTAGTAAATTTTTCTTCAAACTGCATTTCGCTAAGTGCGGAGTTGTGTGGTTTAGTTGGGATTTCCCTGAATACCAGATATTTCGTAAATATGTACGTTTTTCGTAAAATTTTATTTTGTAAGAGTTTTGGGTGTGCACCTACATAAATGAGCGGGTGCTCCATTCGCGATCACTCACAACAGCTAATCCTGAAAACTTTTTAGGGCGTTGTATGGAAGATGTTTTTTTTGCTTTTCTGCGCTGGAGTGCAATGGGTTATAGTCGTTGCGCTGGGTATGCAGTTACAGTTGCATGGCTTACTCTAATCCCGACTCTTGCGTCCTCGTTCGCGCACTCTGGGGTTGCTCACCCATGTGCGAGATGAGGAAAGGGAGGGAGCTTCGGTGGGGCCACTCCGACTTATTCGATTTAAGGGCTCACTGAAGTCTGCGGCGTCTGTTCACCAGTAGGTGCGGCTGCAAGCGGGTGTCTGCTTGGAGTAAGCGGCTAGCTATATAAACGTGTATTTGGTTGCGAAACCACCCCCGTCCATGCAATGGGTTTCGCGCAGGGCTTGGGACTCGCCACGTAAAAATCACTTCCAGTGAAGAAGCAAGGCAAAGCCTCGGATGAGACCCCCCTTATGATGACGACCACGGCAAATGTTTAAAGGACTACGATTTGAGGGCATGCACCTGGAATGTCCGGACCCTTAATGGGGAAGGTGCCTCTGCCCGGCTGATTGATGTCCTCGTAAGGACAAAAGCTGGGCGAGAGCCTCCGTCGCCGAGTACTGTCTTTCACCCCGGTGGACGAGCGTCTAGCCACAATCCGCATCAAAGCGAGATTCTTCAACGTCTCGCTTATCCGCGCCCATGCCCCGACGGAAGAGAAGGATGAGGTATCCAAGGATCTCTTCTATGAGCGCTTGGAGCGCACGTACGAGCCCTGCCCCCTCATGATATCAAAATCGATGCCAGGGTGGGCAAGGAAGGGATCTTTGGAACCACCGTCGGAAAATTCAGCCTCCACGACGAAACGTCCGACAACGGATTGAGGCTGATCGACTTCGCCGGGGCCCGAAACATGGTAGTATGCAGTACTAGGTTCAAGCATAAAAAGATCCATCAAGCTACGTGGCTGTCTCCGGATCGAAAAACGAGAAACCAAATCGATCATGTTGTGATAGACGGAAGGCACGCTTCCAGTGTTTTAGACGTACGCACACTCCGAGACCCAAACATCGACTCGGACCACTATCTTGTTGCAGCCAAGATACGCACCCGCCTCTGTGCAGCAAAAAATGTGCGCCCAAATATGCAAGGAAAGCTTAACGTCGAAAAGCTGCAATCACAACAGACAGCCAGCGCTTTCGCTACTCGACTCTCACACCTGCTCTCAGAGAGCACTCTTCAACAAACCGACATATGCGAGCAGTGGAACCACATTTCCCGCTCATTAAGTACCGCCGCCGAAGAAGTGGTTGGATTTCAGCGAGCCCGAAAGGACAACTGGTACGATGAGGAGTGTCAGGAAGCTGCAGAGAAAAAAGATGCCACCTACACGGCCACGCTGCGATCGGGCGCAACGCGCGCTATGTGGGACCGCTAAAGGGATCTGAAGAGGGAAGCGAGACGTATTTGCCGCAATAAGAAGAGAGAGGCCGAAATACGTGAGTGCGAAGGGCTTGAAATGATAGCCGACAGGAAGAATACCCGAAAATTGTACCAGAGAGTTAGGCGACTTACGGAAGGTTTAAAGACCGGGGCGTACTCCTGTAATAACAATAATGGCGACCAAGTAACTGATGTCCAGAGCGTACTTAAATTATAGATGGAACACTTTTCCGCCCAAGTGCTACTTTGGACTGAGTAGGTAATTCAGGAGTAAAGTCCTCTCTCGACGTACGAAAACCACGCCTATAAGTCACTCATCATGCCTGTGCTGGTATATGGCGCAGAAGCATGGACAATGACAACATCCGATGAGGCGGCTCTTGGGGTGTTTGAGAGAAAGATTTTGCGGAAGATTTACGGTCCTTTACGCGTTGGCGACGGCGAGTACCGCAGACGATGGAACGATGAGCTGTATGAGCTTTACAACGATATGGACATAGTGCAGCGAATTAAAATATAGCGGCTCCGCTGGCTTGGTCATGTCGTTCGAATGGACACCGACACTCCTGCTCTGAAAGTATTCAACTCGGCACCCGCTGATGGTAGCAGAGGAAGAGGGAGGCCCCCACTGTGATGGAGAAGGACTTGGCTTCACTTGGCGTTTCCAATTGGCGTCAGTTGGTACAGGGGAGAAACGACTGGCGTGCTTTGCTGAACTCGGCCAAAATCGCTTAGGCGGTTACAGCGCCAAAAAGAAGAAGAAGAAATTACACTATAATTGAACGTATACATATATATATGCATTGTCGTCAGTAGTAGAAGTAATAGAAAAGTCTTCCCATCCTGCAAGGAAACCGGGGACTAGTGAATCAAATTATTAAAAATATCATTATTAAATTAGTCTGTTCCAATAGCAGTTTACAGCGGTTTACAGGATTTAGTCAGAACTTACAGGAAGTCGTTCCTATTGACATAAAACCTGTAAGTGGGAACACATTTAAGAGTAACAGAGCAACTGTTCCTAGTCAGAAGTTACAGGATTTAGTCCGGACTTTTTTCCTGTAAGTTCATGAAAAGTGTTAAACGATCGGATTTACATGTGCAAACAAAAACAGAAAGCGATGAAAGCAAAGAACTNAAAACCTGTAAGTGGGAACACATTTAAGAGTAACAGAGCAACTGTTCCTAGTCAGAAGTTACAGGATTTAGTCCGGAGTTTTTTTCCTGTAAGTTCATGAAAAGTGTTAAACGATCGGATTTACATGTGCAAACAAAAACAGAAAGCGATGAAAGCAAAGAACCTCATATTTATTAAAAAATTGAAGTAAACAACGAAATATTTGAATACGTATAGATTTTAATAATTATTTAGTAATATTTCAGTGTTGTACCAATGACATGTAAACAAACCGTCTGGCGTTTTTACAGGAAATAGTGCTTTTTGCATTACCGTGCATTTCTGCATCTGTTCTCCTTTTACTCTCACTTGAGAGAGTAAATTGTAGTTTGACAGTTCCACAGGTTTTTAGTCCGAAGTTCAAAGGAACAGACTAATTTCTAGTTCTGTACTAGGTCTTTATCGGGAAAAACCAACTAGTCCGCTAGTAACTAGATCCTCCTCAGACCAAAATCGGCGAAAAGTGGTACTTTTAAAAAACTAATTTCTTTTTCAGTTTTTTTACTAGAAATCTATGTATATCTAAAGTGACGAATTCAGAAGTTTTTTGCTCATTCTGCGCTACTGTTTAGGAAATAACTATGCACCTATAAAAGTACATGCACATAGATACACACATATATACATACATGTGTATGTGTGCATCGATATGAACCCTGCAGGGAGTGACGTTAGCTTATACCTAACTTTAGTCTGTTTACGCGAACACTAGTGCTAACTATTAACTGTGTATTTTGTTCGAAAAAAGCTAACTACTTTTGTGGGGCGATGGCCGCAAAAAAGTCAGACCTGGATACCTCTGCATTACATGTCAACTAACTTGTAACTAACTACTTTTGGACATAAAATATCAATAAGAAAAACAAAATATTTTTTTGTTTTTTTACTTTTTTATTTACTTATTTATTTACTTTATTTTATTACATTTCATATTTGTTTACATATTCTGCTCTGGGTGGCCCCATATTCGAACACCGTCAGACATAACTTCAAAATGATAGTATAAATTTCGATCTTCCTTTTATTTGTCCTCAATATGAAAAAGAAGCTGCGAAGTTCAGAAAAAAAGTGTATTGAAAGTAATTTTTGTTTGAGGATATTTAATAGAAACTTGTCAAGAAAACCAACTCCCGATTGCGTCTGCATGACTCCTGCACGACTTTACAATTCACTTTAAGTTGGATTTGTCATAGCAAATTAAAAGTGAGGTATTAATCGAAATCTCGCCAAAAAGCTAACTATAAGTTGGTTAGTTTTAACAATTGATAATTTTTCACTGCAGGGAAATGCAGACCTTCGTTTTATTGAGTTTTCTTCTAAGCAGGGACGTGAACCGGATGAAAAATTCGGTCGGTTCGGTTCAGTGGTTCGAACCGTTTTTGCACTTCTGAATTGGTCCATCAAAGCGGTTTTTTGATCTTTGAACCGGTGTTTCGGTTCGGTTCAACGGTTCGAAAAACAAAAAAATAACACGCAAGTTTAATAGCGTTTTCTTTTCTCTAAAAAAGGCTGCACTTATTCTGCCTTGTGTTAGCGCTGTCACATTTTCATGTTCTTTTCTCAGCCCTTTCACAAGGCGTCGTGTTCTTTTCTCAGCAGGTTGCGCTCTGATCCGGCGAAAGTGCTGCCTTTTCTGCCCTCAAATAAACGTGAGGGTGAGAGTTGCATGGTTGATTTTTAATTTAATCTTGTAAAAATGCAATTATTTTCCCTATCAGAAATAAGTGTGTTTTAAAATTGTTACAGACTTACAGGCCAAGTGAATAATTCAGCTTTATTAAGTTCTATAAATAAATTGTGATGGAGTAGTATATTTTCTGTTTCATTCTCATATAAAGAACGCAACATTTTCTCAGGTTGCAGGGCAACGCAAAGCAAGAGTTCCTATATAAAAGGCCAGAACTTTTTTTGAGAAAAGAAAACGCTATAAGTGTCAAGTGTCAAGTGCAACAACGCGCAAGGTTAAGAGTCAAGTGTCTGTCAAATGAGATGGGTTGCCTTTACATTTGATATTGTTACATGATAAGCAAATATGGTAGGTATTCAAGAATGATAGAATACAAGATTGCGCTGTCCTGCGCGTTGACATTTGTGTATCACAAGTAAACAAAGAATAGAGCGAAAAGAAGAACAAGTTGAAACTGCCAAAACAGTTCACCTTACAGCGAAAAACGTGTTTTATTTTTGCTAAATGCGAAAACATTGCATTTTTACCTAATCTATTCGAGAATAGGTAACATTTTAGTGCACTCTATTGCCTTGCAATTGAGGCTGTATTTTTTTTCTGCTTTTCTTTACTGTTCAAATATCTTTGAACATGGATACATATCTGCCTGAATAATAACATTCAATATAGCAAGAACTGTTTTGCCCTCGACAATATGTTCAAACATCTTTGAACATGTGTGAATACATACAAACATACATATATGCCTCGGTCTTAAAAATACTCAAACTTAAAATTGTAATAAACATTTCTAATTCTTGAATATACAAAGGAAAGATAAAAATTGTGCTCTTGAACCAAAACTAAAATACAGTCCACTGGAGAAAATACAATTAGAAGAAAATATAATTTGTACGCACATTTACATATATAAATTCAAATGTATGTATCCAAACACAAACATACGACAAGAATGTCAAGTGCATGCGACGCACAAAAGTAGGTAATTAAATGTAAGGAACGTTCGCGATAAACAATAAAATATGGAATCGGTTGATCCTTTATCAGTTGTAAAATGCTGCAAAGCAACCCTTATGGTGCTACAAATAGAAAATACATTAGGGGTATTCTCTGAGTCTTGCAAAGCCCTTGCATGGTGCACAGATTGCACGGATTGCACGGTAAAAACCGGTTTTCGTATGGGACAGCTTTGCAAACCGTGCAATCCGTGCACCGTGCAAGGGCTTTGCAAGACTCAGAGAATACCCCTATTGCCTATCAATATTCTTTACATGGAAAGATGTAGCAGAGGCTCACAACCAAAATACCATAAGAACCAATGCACTGGTTTCTTATTTATATACATACATACAAACACACACACATATATGTACATATACAATTACTTAGGAAACAAAAAGTAAGAAAATTGTATATAAAGAAGAAATATTTAATAAATATTCAGAATCATAAAGACTCTCAAATAACACTCTTCTTCTCCGCTTCTCTTTTTTCTTTTAATTTTATTTTATATGCTTTACTTCCCCCCACCAGCGGTAAGGTGTAAAGCATTTAACACTCTTTATTCTTCTTTCTTTATTAAGGTTTTACTTCCCCCCACCAGCGGTAAGGGGTAAAACTTTTAATATTGAAAGTACTAACCTCTTATTTTATTAGACTCTACTTCCCCCCACCAGTGGTAAGGGGTAGAGAATTTTAGAATAAAAGTATTTGTAGGTCAAGCATTACTGAGAATTACTTGTTTCCCCCCACCCGAGGTAAGGATCAAGTGACTCAGCTCTGCAACGAACATTACTCTCAGTCTTCACCAGACGCCCACTTTTCTCTTTAGTCAATCTTATCCCCACTAAGTTCCATTTATTGGATATAATACATAAACGCAATCATTACAATAAAATACCCTGCAGATACACCATTATACTGAAAAGTGTACGCTGGGAATATACTTCAATTACACGTATGCAAGTATGTAATTTATATGTACATACATACATATATGTTACCACCATAATTCATATATTTGTGCATATTCCTACATTCCTTCCAACCGAAAAGCATTTGCTTGCATTACTTACATATACATATGTATGTATGCTGTATGCATAACCAAATGCATACCCAAAACAAACGTCGTTGCAAACTTTTCGCGATAAGTTTACGGGAGCAGCAAGACCTCAAATGTCTTCGCTACCGGAGAAAGGAGTGTTATCGGACGATACAAATCTCCTTTGTTGGCTGGTTTCCCCGGTTTGAGCAGTGGGACCACTCTCCCCACCTTCCAGATGTCTGGGATGATGAGAGTAGCTATTAACAAATTGAGGACCTCCGTTAGGTACGCTACTCCCGCATGACCCAAGTTTTTCAGCATCAGCATGCATATCGGTCGGGACCCATGGCTTTGCAGGCTTTCGCTTTCCCAATGGCCACCTGAACTTCACCGCAAGTGAAAGCAAGGGGGCAACAAGTTGTTGGGAGTTTGTGCAGCCTTCTGGTCACTTGACGCTTGGCTTTGTCCGCCGGAGGATGCAGTATGAACTGCCGGCTAAAATAGCTCACGCATCGCTCCCGGTCCGACGAAGCATGGTCGCCGAAAGAAATTTCGAGCCTGTCGTCATGCTTCGTCGGATTGGACAGTGACCTCACGGTTGACCAAAGCTTACTCACTCCTGAGGTGAAGTTACAGGTCTTCAGATGCTCTTCCCACTTCTTTCGCTTTTGTACGCTCACTAGTTGCCGAATGTCCGCATTGAGATCCCTGATACGGGGATCTCCGGGATCGGCCTCTCGAAGGCTGTCACGCTCATCGGCTAGAACAGCCGCTTCAGCAGGAAAATTTTGACGTGGGTCCGTTATGTCCTGCCGGTACGAAGCGAGCTGCAGCAGCGGTGAATGCCTTGCGGGACTTACGTTCACTAAGGTGGACGTCGGTTGGTGCGGTTGGTTTATCGATCGAGACTACTATGGCAAGATGATCTAATGCCAAAGTCCGAATAGGTCGCCATGATATGCTGTTTATCAGACCAGCGCTGACTATTGTTATGTCTGGAGAGCTGCAGCATCTGCCTATAATCCTGGTGGGTGCGTCGTAGTTCATTGTGCAGAATGTCAAATCGTCTAACTGCTCGGCCGAGTCAGTTCCCCTTCGATCGTTTGACAGGCTTGAGTGGCAAAGATCGTGGTGCGCATTAAAGTCACCTACTACCATACGGTTTTCACATCTGATGAGCGCACGTATATTAGGGTGATATCCTGCCGGGCAGCAGGTGACGGGGGGTATGTACACATTAAATATTTCGAGCTCAACATCGCCTGACCGGATAGCAATGCCCTGACATTCTAGGGTGTAGCCCTGCGGTCGATGTCTGCTTCAATAAGACGATACTGCACGATTTGGTGCGTGATGAACGCCAAGCCACCACCATTATCTCGCTCGCGATCTCGACGGTGCACGTTGTACCCGGCACAATTCAACAATGTTTAATTGCTGTGCAACTTCGTCTCTTGGGCCGCAGCTATCAATATACCACGCCTTCCCATGAAGATGGTTATCTCCCCGATCTAGCTCTGAAGCCCGTTACAGTTAAATTGAAGGAGCTTCATGTGGTTCGGGAGACGTGTAGTAATGCGGGGTGTGAGAGATGTGTGTGGCCTTGCCGCCATTGCCTGTGTGCGCTGCTGTGTTGGTTACCGCCCTGTGGTGTTAGTGGGTGGCGTCGCAGTTGGGGTTTGTGACCGTGCAGCGCAACACGGGCCCTCGAAGTTCCTCGTCCATTCTCGCGTAGTGTGCAGACCTGAAAATGCCCTAAAGTGGCACCAGCCAAGGCAGGTGTTGCAGTTGACTGAAGTCACATTACGAAATATCCTGGTCTGACATACCGTGCAGATAGTAGGAGGAACCAGAAGTTGTTGATGGCGGCGTGTGGGTGGTGGTGCGGTTGCGTTTGTTCTGTGGTCTGTCGTGGTTGTGGTGGGGTCTATTGTGTTGTTATGTTGTTGTGTTGTGGTGTTTGTGTGGAGATGCTCAGGTGGACTGGGGTTAGCCGTGGAGGCTGCTCTATTTGAGCATCAGGGGGCAACAAACGACGTGGCGCAGTGCGGATGTGTCCGTAATCCTGAGCAGACTCTGAGGTAACTCTACCCCTCGCAAGCATTGCACTTGACTGAGGTTGAGTTGTGGTGTAGTCGTCTCTGGCACACACAGCAGGCGTAGGTTTCTGACCCTGGCTTTGACTCGATGCCAGCCCTGAGCAGAAGAAGACGTAGCGAATGTAGCCCTATGGATGAACAACTTCTGAGATACTTCGCCGATCTAAACGTGTGTTTAAGCCGCCACTTAAACTTAATTCAGCTGCCGTGCGCGCATCCTTTGACCGCAGCGGTGTCAAGGGAACTCCGAAAGAATGATTAACGAGCGCGCACGGCCGCTTTCCGTCATCGTGCCAAATCAGCGACACGACAGTTCAGCTACTTACGACGGTCTACGCGCACGCGCTTCCTTAAAATTAGTATGTTGAGAATCTTTTTAAATGTTTCATTTTTTTTTATTTATATACATGAAAACATAAATTTAAATTGTTAAACTATTAAAAACGCTGAATACACTGAGCGGAAGTTTGTAAATATTTTAAAATCGAAACCTAAGTATTTACTTTAACGGAAACCAAAGTGTGTAATGTGAACAAGGTGAGTGTGAAAAGCGACCAGTGGAATTATTCATGGTCCTTCGCAGCCAACCCTGGCCTAGCGCCAAAAAATACAAAAATTAAAATTATTAAAAAACCGTACGTCCGCAAAAAGCTTATATAAAAACTGTTAACTAAACACAAAAGACAACTATTTCGAAGTGTTCAAAAAACAAAAGTGCGCGCATACATACAGTGCTACATACATATGTACATATGCAACCGAAATACACGTACTTACCCTTGTGCTGACCACAAGTGTACATATCGCTAACTCAGAGTGAAAACAAAAAAAGACAAAAATTATAATTTTTTTTAATTTTAAATAACAAAAACACAAAGATACACATACGCNCAAAAAAAGACAAAAATTATAATTTTTTTTAATTTTAAATAACAAAAACATAAAGATACACATACGCAAAAAAAAAACTGTGAAAATTAAAAATTTTAAATAAAAAGATTTCATAAACATACACACAGTCAAAAAAAGACAATCGAGTGAACAAGCTGTGCCCCAAAGAAGCACTACAGCAATAAAAGGTATCAGCTCGGCAACACCAGCAGTCATCAACAAACCAAACAAATTGGCTTACATACATACATCAGCCAAGCAACCGCCACCAGCAGCCATTAACAACATCAGCACAAGAAGCCCCCGGACCAAAAAGGAGCAAAGTCAAACACACATCTACATACACATAAAGGAAAGTAGTGAGTAGGCAAATTTTAATTTTCTTAAAAATTATAATATAAATTTTATTTTCTCAAAAGTTATATTATTTAAAATAAACTGCCAACGAATATATACGTACATATAGTACATATAAATGATTTCATAAAAGGCGTCTTTCTTCTCGCCAAAAGCGTTTCTATTAAAATTGCGGATATTTTCTTGCCGCTAAAAATTTCACACCGGCAATTTGCCGCTATTAAAATTTTGGTAGAAAAATTCCGTTTTCCGAAAAGCGGTATATCTCCACATACCGCCAATCTTATATGTATATAAGTATATGTACATATATACACATTCTGATATATACCCCAAAATAAATTCCGTTGCAGTTTATATGCCTACTGTGTCCCACTGTGCAAGAACAAAATATTAGCACATTAAAATCACGATTGAGAGAATACAAAGGTTGCGCCGATCTCGGATCGCTATTCCTCTCTTAACGAATTTGACAGAATCGTTGTTGTCATGCAAANTACATTAAATTGCAAACATTGTTAATACATCCATTTTTTCATGTGCTAAAAATCGTACTTATCTAAAGGGCTACAAGTCCAAAATTATTGCTACGTGTTCCTAATTAATCAATCTTTGTATATTTGTTGATTCCTGCAAAATTGGGCCATGTAATATTGAAATTATTTTTGTTTACATATTTTTATATGCGGTCTGGCATTTCTCTCTCGCAATTGCACCTAGATGACGTCACGCAAAAGTTCTTCTTCGTCTTTATTGGAGCTGTAACCGCCTAAGCGATTTTGGCCGAGTCCAAAACAGCACGCCAGTCATTTCTCTTCTGTGCTAACTGACGCCAATTGGAAATGCCAAGGGAAGCCAAGTCCTTCTCCACCTGGTCTTTCCAACGCAGAGGAGGCCTTCCTCTTCCTCTGTTACCAGCATCGCGGCCCGCGTTACCCTCAAAAATTCTCTCTCATTGTATTCTATCATTCTTGGTCCACATATACCAAACGCACTCTAGCTTATTTTCATATCTTTCCACCTCGCTTTTCTCTGCGGCACTCACCAAGCTAATACGTCAAAGCCCACTCTCCGACATAAATACATTCGGTACCAATAACTCACCTCAGCGGTGAGCGGCTCTTTACGTATTATTATATCCACTTGTGCATTCCCGCACACATACATACATACGCACTGTAATCAAAACAAACTCTGTTTTTTCGTACTTCTTCACTCACCACTGCTGTGACAAAGCGTAGCTTAGCCATATCTTCGGCTTCATATGTAAATATTTGTACATACATACATACCCTATAATCAAAACAAACTCTGTTGTTTTCGGTTCTTAACTCACGACTGCTGTGACAAAGCATAGCTTAGCCATATTCTCGGCTTCATACGTAAATGTTTGTACATACCTACATATGTAAGTACATTTGTACATACGTCCTAACAAAGAATATTGTTACACGAATATTATCAATAACGCGATAATAAGCGAGTTCAAGATATTTGGATACATGCAACCCAGTAGGGAAAACTTCCAAATTACATTTGTTTAGATAGTGATAAATAACCAATACTTTTCCAGTGTTTATATATTATTTATATCACATTAAATATTTGTACATACGTATATTTCAACCACGTATATAACAGTGTAAAGTGTTTGTAATTTTTTTTCTCTTACTGAAATTTTTCAAAAAGTGCTGAACCAAAAATTAAAGCAAATATAATTTCACGTAATTTGCAGGAAACAAAAACACAAACACCGCCACAAAATCTTAAAATATTTTTTCCTGATTTTCTGTGGCACAAAGTGCAATTTTTTCTCGTTTGACACATATTTTTCAAATTTTTTGCCAACGATATCTTGGTGGTACTCAGCTAACTTTAATTAAATCTTTTTTTAATTTACATACGTGTGACCCTCCATAGCATTCAAAATGCCTCTTGGACACAGTCCACCAAACGTTTCTGAAAAGGAGACAAAGTCAAAAGGTGCTTCACAAGAAGCCACCGGCGGTAAGAGGGAACCCTCACCGCGCCCGAAATCTAAAACTTTTGACCCATCCGCTCAAAAGTTTATAGCGGAAACTAACAGTATCATGAGATACGGTGCTAAATTCAGTGATGCACCAATCCAAGACCACACTGAATCATATCTTATGATAAAAGTCAAATCACTAGACGATTGTTGGTCAAGGCTTCAGTCCGCCTTTGATTTGGTTTTTTTCAAAGCCAGATGACAGCCTACCCGAAAACTTTAAGAATTCGGTAGAAGGCAAGTACTTCACTTGCCTTGAGTTATATGAGGTGACCAAAGCTAAAATTCCGATCAACTGTCGTAGATTAGAGCAATCGCCGCTCCGAGTCCACCACCCCGCGTGGAACACACCACGGCAGAGGCAAACGTTTTTCTACAAGTCCCACCTTGTGACACGGAGACATTTTACGGCGGTTACGAAGAATGGCCCGCTTTTCGTGACATGTTCACAACGGTGTACATCAACCACCCGGATCTCTCCCGTGCTCAAAAATTGTATCACCTCCGATACAAAACCCAAGGAAAAGCCGGCTCCATCGTCAAGTAATACCCGCTCAGCGATGATAACTTCGAGCTGGCCTGGGAAGCTTTACGGTCACGATACGAAAACAAACGTATCTTGGTTGACAACCAAATTAAAATTTTAATGACTTTCAATCCGAGAATAGCGAGCAACTGCAAAGCCTGCAAACATCAATTGACAACTGTCTGTCAGTTCTTAATTCCCAAGACGTCCAGACAGACAGTTGGGATCCCATATTGGTGTACATTTGCTCATCCAAATTGCCCGAAACCACACTGTCACTTTGGGAACAATCTCTCTCTTCTCGANAGTCGAAAGACTTAACCGGCTTCGTCCAAGCCAAAATAAACAAAAACCAGTCGCTCATCAAAATTCTGCGCAAAACAGGTCCTTTAACAGGACGCAAACCTTTGTGGCAGAACCTAAGAGGGAAACAACTTGCTCTTACTTCAAGTCCCCTCATCCCATTAGAGTCTGCCCACAATTTAAGCGAATTTCGGTATTAAACCGAGTACAATTCGCAAACCAAACCAAGCTGTGCAAAAACTGCCTTGGTAATACCCATAGCACTAATGAGTGTCCGAGCAAGTGGTCATGTACACATTGGCACTTATGCATAAAAAGTGAGCTACTGCTCAAGTCGAGTCTGTCGAGCTCAATCTCAAGTAATGAGTCCAAGCAAACAGATTGAGCTCCTACTCGTTTTCGTATGCATAAAAATGAGATTGAGCAAATGCCATGAACTTGAGATAACTGAGATCATACCGCATGTTTGATTAGTAGCAAACATGAGTTCGGAAAGCGAGAGTGAAAATTTAAATTGTGATTTAAATGAATCCTTGTCAATTTTTATAGTTCATTATCTAAAGAAATACGAGTTACAGTTAAAAAATGTCAACTCCCTAGTGTTAGAAATAGAAAAAATAAATAATTGCAAAAATTAGTTATGAATTTAAAGAAAAAACGGGGGTAGAAATAAATGGGCGCGTTCATAAGTCGTAGCTGTTGGGTAACCGTTGGGTGTTTGTCTTAGAAACGCACAGTTGAGTAGTTACGCTCAGCCCAACAGTTGGCAACTTTCCGCCATTTTTTCCAGCGGAAAATGTTTACGCTACCTGACTTAACGTGTTGGGCTTAGCCTAAACAGCTGATCGAAAAGACTTACGCCGCTTATATTAAACTTAACGTCGCGTTGTTAGGTGGCAGTTGCAAACAAATTTATTATATTTTAAATTACTGACGTGATAAAGTAACTAAAATATTTTATAATAATACTACGTTTCTAAATATATGTTTTTAAGATGTTTGCTATATAATTTTACACTGTTTAATTCATTGTAACGTTGAACGATTTTTTCAACACGGCGGCGGCTCAGTGTTGAATTCTAAATAGTATCGGCGTAACTATCTCTATTTGTTGCAATTTCATTTGTTTACATTTATCAGCTGTTCATTTGGCAGCATATTCATCAAGCCGTTTCTAAGACGTAATTGTTGGGTTCAACAGTTGCCAGCAGTTTCGTAGCAGATGAGCTAAACAGCTACGTCTTATGAACGCGACCAATGAGAATAATGTTGACAAGAAAATTGCTAACATGAAGTGCCGTGTAAAAGGAAAAAGCGACAAGAATAAAAGAGGAAATAAAAAAATAAAAATTAAAATAGTGGGAGTCAGAATTATTAGAAATACTCTCAGCTGGATCGAATCCGGTCATCAAAAGAATTACAAGTAAGTTCACCGTTACCCCTTCCACCATTTTTGTTTTCTTAATGTTAATACATTTCTTTTGTTATTCTCTTTTCTATTCCAGGTAATTTGTCGGTGGGCATTAATAACGAGCTTTCCAGCAGTAACTCAGAGAGCGCAGTGGGCATTATTAACGAGAGTTCCAGCAGTAACTTAGAGAGCGCGATATTAACACCTGTACAGCGTGTTGCCATTTTAGCCGTTTTCCGGCTAGATTTCGGTTTAGCCAGCAGCCGATTTGTTAGCCGTTTTGCAAAAAAAATTAGCCGTTTTTAGCCGATTTTACTATTTGCCTTGTTTTCTTAAAATTCAAATATATACATACGTTTCCATTTTTGACTAAGCGACCCAAAATCTGTTGGAAATGGCTACTAACCTTATCGCGGAGAATATTTTCATGTTAGGCAGGATATATAAAATTGGGCCGATTTCGCTTATTTTTATTTTAAACGAACATATTTTTTCTAAAGAAAGCCGTAGCGTGGATTTTCTTCATAAAATGTTTGTTATGAATGTCTTAAATTTAAGTGCGAAGTATTATTCGCAAACTTAGAGAATAACAAATTGTTTCACTGTTTGCTTAACACGCGTTTGTGTTTGGATATAGTGCCAACACATAGAATAAATATTACAGGTATTGTCTTCTCAGATAGGGCATATTCAATTCTGCCTTAATTAAGAAACATCATTGTTGCCCGAGCTTAAAGGTTTAAGGTAAGGGAAAAATTAATATTTTCAAGCACTATGTACACATGTGTATTTTTTTAAACAAATTTTTTTGCTGAGAACTTATTTAAATTCCAAAAACAGAACGCTAACTTGAATTAAAAAAGCCAAATGTCAAAATGAAAACGAAAGCAAAACTCTATGGGAAGGCAATAGGTTTGTTCTTCGAAAATCCAGTGAGAATTATCACTCAAAATATCAGATAGTAAGACAAAATGCTCCCAAAATCTCTCTCAAGTAGATAAATTTGTAAATTTCGGCACGAGCGTAAATTTGAAGGAATTTGCAAGTTTCCCTGCCAGCTAGGATCCACGGTTGCATTTCAAACATAATAAATTTGTATAGAATTTTAAAAATTCTTTCAGATGGGCAAAAAACAGGATATACAGGTATATTTCTTTTAGTCCGACTTTCTTCAACATACGTCTAAATTTCTTTGTCGTAGTAACTGTCGTAATTGCAAATTCTTGCTGGCAAAATTTTTTCCAACTTGAATTTGCAACTTCCCTCCAAGAACTAGTTAGTCTTTCTACCTGTGATTTACTTAAATAAAACATGTGAAATTTAATAGAAACGGTTTAGCCGATTTTTTCGCCAATTTAGCCGGTTGGTCCAAAAAGTTCTGGCAACACTGCTGTACAGACTTCACTTGTGCAACAACAAACAGCACAAAGAAAACGACATGCTACTGATAATATTCGGCCGGTACTTTCAATAGAGTTGTTGGCGCTGAGCTTGAGAGTACCTATTTATTTTTAGTTAATATGCAAGCTAATTTCTGCTCTTATTTCTTTCAAAAACAAACTACACACAAGCATATTAACTACTAATAACAAGAACTCGGCGTAAATATCACTAATGCGATTGCCCGTAATTCATAATTTAATTTAATTACAGGGCAAAAAAATCTTAGATGAATATGAGACAGAGGAGACCACAAATTTAAATTTTCAACAATTTCCGAATATGCAGTTTTGTAGCCCGTCCAATTTTAGTAAACAAAGTGCAAGTTTCAAGTCGCTAGAAGTTACCTTATATTTTTTCGAATTTTCTTCCATATAACACGTGATCAAAATCTATTTTTATATGGAAGAAAATGCGCAATACCCTCCACAAAAAAATTCTAAAAAACCAACGGTAATTTCTAGCGACTTGAAACTTGACCTTTGACTAAAATTGGACGGGCTACAAAACTACATCCTCCAAAATTTTTTAGAAATTCTGAATAAAAATTTTGAAATTTTGATGAAAATTGTTTGAATTTTTGTGAACTTTATATAAAGAGTGAAACTTTGATTTTTATGGTTTATGCATATATGTAATACTCCTATATTGGCAGTAAGAGCTAGTACCGTCCGAAAACACTACAGTACAGATATATCAATAAACACGTACGAAAGAAAAGGAACACATACGTTTATAAATAAACATGTACACAACACATATACAAAAACGGCACTCAAGTACACAATACATTGACAAAAACAGTACTACACTGTCTCGCTCTGATTTCGGAATGCTTACACATTGAGAAGTTAGCTTACTGCCAATATAGAAGTATTACATATATGGGTTCATGTTATAGAATGAACTATATTTTCATAAATAATGAATGAAAAAATTGTTTCATTAAAATAATTTAAAACAAGGTGTACACTTACATTTGACACCGACCGTACATATTTACATACATACATGATCACGAATAAGCAAAATGAAGTACAAATATATTTAATTTAATAGTAAATTAGAAATCACTTGTCTCTTTCTTCTTCCTGTGTCCGAAGCTCTGGAAGTGGTTTGTGTAGTGTCGTCCATCTCCAAGTTCGAAGAGTTACTCAGAGTATCATTTTCATTCCAAGTGTAGCTATCTTTTAGAACCTTTGCAATATTATGCAAAACAAAACAACTTGCAATCACCATTGGCACTAAATCTGTTGCGACTCGAATTTTATATTGCAAAATTGCAAACCGTTGTTTCAGTTGTCCAAAACACCGCTCGATTATGCACCTCTCTTTCGTAAATATTCTATTATAATTGATTTCTTCTTCAGTTTGTGGGTTCCGAAATGGGGTCATAAACCAAGGAGATATGGCATAAACCTCATCTCCAAGAAGCAAAGCATCATTACCAGCATTCATCATCGTAGTATATATATTGCTGTTTCGCAGCACGCGAGAATCATGCACAGAACCTGGCCAAGATATATTCACGCTAGTGAATAGCTCATTTGCATCACATGTTGCTTGCACATTTATTGAATGAAAACCTTTTCTACGTACGTACTCGTCACTTTGAGAATTCGGCTTTTTAGTTTTGATGTGTGTACAGTCTATGGCACCAATTGCAAACGGAAACCGGTTTTTTCTTCCCAT